TAGTCATATACGTTGCACAGCCAACACATTAGAAAACACAAGCCAAATAATGTTAGATACACAGATACCATTTAGCAATGTCGCAATTCTCATACAAAATATCATGAAAGGGGTGATATTACACTAAAGACGGCCTTGTGTCTGAGATTTTGCTTGACTTTATTAGGTACTTTGGCATGCCTGAGATGGTTGAATGAATGTTGCGTTACTTAAATATTTCCTACTTTTGGTTTCTATACAAGCAGGTACTCAAAGCTGTGTTACATGGAGACTCTCTACTTTTCAGAGAGCATCCCGAGCTATTGGATGCCTTGGTTCGGGTTTATTTTCATTCCAATTTGAAGAAGTACAATAGAATTGAATGCTGGGGGCCTCTCAAGGATGCTGTAGAGGTAAAACTCAACATGTGCATGCATAACCACACTTAGGCACTTAAATCTGCATGTTGCTACTTTCAAGATTGCTTGCTAATTGTCATGTGAGTCACCATATGTTACTATGTGAAGACTTGTTATCAACTTCAGTCATTACATGTCGTTGTCCCGAAAAATATAGGAGAATTACATATTTTAGGTTCATATGATTCCTTAATTTTCATTTGAACAAGAGTTTTATTTCAGGGAAGACAAGGGGATCATACCAAAGGAATAACTGCACACATGGATTCTTCCCATCCTCGGGACAAGCAGAGAACGCCAAAATCAATATTTCAAGTTCTATTTGCATTCCTTCTTTGATTCTTTGAAGTCAATAACTGCACATATGGATTCTTCCCATCCTCGGGACAAGCAGGGAACGCCAAAATCCATATTTCAAGTTCTATTTGCATTCCTCCTTTGATTCTTTGAAGTCTATTGCGTATTATGATCTCGAAGTTTTTTAATACCTTCGAGGCTTGTCAACTTCAACAGCTAACGCCAGAGGCAGTGAAGGAATCAGCTTTCATGTGTAAAGTTCAAATAATTCTTTGGGAAGACGCAAAAAGGGAAAAAAAATCAGGTTGATGTAAAACAAGGACTGTTTGGGGTTCATAAAACTGATTCACAATTTTTCTGTGACTAAGACCAATTTGTTCATGCGTTAATCAATGGCTAATGTCTTTGTTGCTTGACATGTCTTTTGCTTCTATTGTTTACATGCATTCCACTCTATTTTTTCTATTACTAATGCAGAGATCAATTCATATAAAATCTCATTGTAAACCAGTGGCGCGGAGCCACTCTTAGAGTGCCCTTGGCCCCCAGGTTTTTGACATCTCTCATCTACTATATGATAAATATGTTCTAACATAGACGTAATGGCTCCTCTAAAACAAATTAAACATGACTAAATTAGAAATATTTAACACTAACATGTAAATCTTGAATCAATATGTATTTGATATACTCGTATTTTCGACAATCTAACCTTACATTTTAACTCCGCCCTGATGTAAATGTACCAACAGTTTACTAGAATGAGGCGTCAAGCATAGCGTTTGAGTTTGTTCATGTCTCCCAACTCCATGTGACTCGTGAGTCCACTTTGACTGTAGACAGTCCAATTTCACTTAAACCTCTCTTCTAGATCTCTGAAAACTCAAGATCCAAATAAATTCTGGAATTCAGTGGGCCTAGGCCCAGCAAAATTATTGCTTTTTTTTTTGGACACAAGCAAAATTAAAGAAGGGGATTTCAAACACAAGACACAAGACTTTGGGTGTAGCACTGTTCAATCCCCTCGTAACTTCTCGTTATTGTTAAAAGCGAAAATCCCCCACAATTCACTACTCGCTAAACAACAAAATCACTATTTTGAGCAAAACATGGAAGCTGTGTTGTAGGTAAAGTGCATGAAATGAAAGTGGGACGAAGGTTCCTACTCTCCCCCAAAAGATGTAATATTGGATATCTCTAGCTAGCGCAAGCTACTTCTCATGCAACTCTCTCTTCCTCTCTCACTCTCTAAATACTAGATACACACACATGCAGAGGCTCATCTCATTGGCACATGTATGCAGTACATAGTAACGTGGAGATGGAGAGGAAGACGACCATGAAGACTATGCATCATATCGGCGCAGAGTTGGAAGCAGTGTCGAGAGTCGTCGGATTAGGAAGGAGCTCCAAGAGATACTGCCTAGTCCCTCCTAGAGGAAGGATCAAGCGTAAGATTCTTGCCCTTCTATTCAAAAGATTGAAGCTTGCAACCCAACATTCATGTACGTAATTCCTCATACTGAACTTGGAAGGCACAAGTATGGTATGGTATTAAAATACTTGTATATATATGTTTGTGGAGAATTTTCTAGTAAGGATGCCCTTATTTAAAATAAATAAATAAAACGGGGATCCTTTCTAGATAGAGCTACTACGCAAAGCATTCAACGATGAGAACCATTTGTATCCTTCGTAAGATGGTTTTCA